TGTGTGTGTGTGTGTGTGTGTGTGTGTGTGTGTGTGTGTGTGTGTGTGCTGTGACAGTAAAATTGTGTTTGGAAGGCTGTATGGCCTTAATATATATTTGTCTTAATTATTTAACATACTTATTTTTATTTTATGTTTATGTACAAGTGCCTGCATGTGTTATGTATTTGTACCATGTGCGTACCTGGTGCCCATTGAGGGCAAAACCGGACTCTGAGGAAGTCGTGAACCACCATGTGGGGTATTTGTAACTGAACCCAGGTCTCCTGTAAGAGCAGCAAGTACTCAACCTCTGAGCCATCTGTCTAGCTCCTTAGTTACTTTTCTATTGCAGTGACAAAGCACCATGACCCAGACTATTTATAAAAGAAAGCATTTACTTTGAGGCTCATGGTTTCAGAAGGTTAGTCTATGATTCGTAGTGGGGAGCTTGGCCACAACCATATCAGGATGGTGCTGGAGCAGTAACTGAGAGCTTACATCTGATCCACAAGAATGATGGGGGGGGGGTGCGTTTGATGGGGTTAACTGGCAATGGCCTGGGCTTTGGAACTTCAGAGCCTATATAGTGACACACCTTCTCCCACAAGGCTGTACCTCCTGATCCTTCTCAAATAGCTCCACCAGCTGGGAGCATTATCATTCAAACCACCACAATACTGTAACATAAAAGTATGATTTTATCCGTTTAATTTTACTTTTAAGAATTTAACTTACAGCCCGGTGGTGGTGGCTTACACCTTTAATCCCAGCACTCGGGAGGCAGACAGGAGGATCTCTGAGTTTAAGATCAGCCTGGTCTACAAGAGGTAGTTCCAGGAGACTACAAAGCTACACAGAAAAACCCTGTCTCAAAAAACTAAAAAAAAAGAAAGAAAGAAAAGAAAAAATTCTTTGTTTTGTTTTGTTTTTGAGGTAGGGTTTCTCTGTATAACAGTCCTGGCTGTCCTAGAACTTGCTTTGGAGACCAGGCTGGCCTTGAACTCACAGAGATCCTCCTGCCTCTGTCTCATAAGTACTGGGATTAAAGGCATTAGCCACTACCAAGGGGCCAGATAATTCTTTATTTTTTTTATTTTTATTTTGTTTTTGAGACAGGGTGGTGAGAGCCATGTTACTTCTTTGGGGAACAAGGCCTGAGAATAACAATAACAAGCTCCCCTTGTAGCAAGGCCCTGGAGACCCTGACCCATTTTGCAAAGCCTGTAGACAGTTTGTTGCATAACTCTGTGCATGACCCCAGGAGCATATGTGCTACCTGCTCTCTTGCTTTCACTATGCCAGCCATATTGTTTGCTACCTTTAGTTACACTTGCTCGGATAAAATAGCTATTGCAGAAGGAAAACTTCCCCGATGACTCTCCTCTGAGTGAGCTAGCTAGGGGGAATGTTGTTAAAAATACAGTGTCCTGATTCAACCCCTAAAGCCTTTGATGTTTCAAGTATGACCATGAATGCAGGCCTTTTACAAACTAGATGTTGTCTTTCCAACATACCCTGTAACTAGCCTGAAAGAGTCCCAGTAGTTCATGAAGTTTAATATTACAAATGTGCATAACTGTTCTGGAGAGAATGATTTTTTGCCACAAGAGTGTAGGAGAAATGCAAATAAAATAGATGATGTCAAGAGTTAATGGGAACTGTCTAGAGACAGGGACTCTAGTAGAATCATAGAATCCCACGGTTCTCGAATAGCTGCCAGTACCCTAAGAAGTTGAGAGGAGGACATGAGAACAAGAGAATAAACAATGCCAACCATTAATAAGTTTCTAAGTTATGTTGCTTAATAGGATAAAAGGAAAAACCTGGTATTTCACCAGAGGAATTGGAGTGCTACAGAGTGTAGAATGAATTGATCCACCTTCGCTGATGAGTTGATTGTGAGAACCCAGACCCTACCAAATGTAAATATTAACCATTAGAGACAAAATTGTCTCTCATCTGGCATGATGCTATAGCCACAAATGCTGCCAACTGGGCACACTGTTCTACCTGTAGGTGTGCCTAGTTAGAAAACTTCCTTTGCAGCTTGCAACATTGCTTATGCTTCTAACATTAGAGCTATAGATATGGTTAATGGTTATCTGGTGGAAAAGTTGGGGGATGGAAGGGGAAAGAAGCAAAGGAATAAACTGGTAATTATTGTAACCATTTTTAGAAACTTAAAGAAACAAATCTGATTGTAAAACTGTTCATGCAAACCATTGAAATTGTATAAATAAAAACAGCCCATGCTATTCGGGCCACTTGTTTGAAACAGGTGGTCACAGTTTCTTTGTTTCACCAACTTCACACATCTGTCCCAGGTCATCAGACCTTTCTAGAGAAACAGGGTTTTGCTATGTAACCCCTGCTTGCCTGGCTTGGAACTCACTATGTAGACTAGGTTGACTTCTGCCTCCTGAATGCTAGGATTAAAGGAATGCAACACCATACCCAGCACTTTATATGAAGCGTATAAAGAGTGTTATCTTACAGCCAGGTTTGATGGCATCATTACATTTTTTGTTATAGAAGATTGCAACTAAAATCTCTTTAGTATTGATATTTGTTATAATGCATTCATACCTGAATATAGTCTAAGCTATAAAAAAGAACATGCTCTTTAAGTATTGAATTTTCCTTCAAAATGTAATAAGCAAAACAATATTTGCTTGTTCATGTACAGAATGAATGTTTTTTCCAGAAAAATTACAAGAAACTGGCAATGTTGGTTGTCTTCAGGGAATAAAACTGGACAGTTGGGAAGGGGTTGAGGGCTTTTCCCTGAAAATCCCTTTTTTCAGTCTTTTGACTTTTAATTTTTTTTTCTTTAGACTTTGACTTTTAATTTATAAAGCAGCTATCTAAAATTACAGGAAAACTATAAATGTAGGAGTATTAATGCTACAGAACTATCTTAGGTACTCAACTGTGGTGTTAGGATGCCCCTGTTGTCTTCAGTGTAGGTGGTCTAATGCAACAGAACTATCTTAGGTAATCACTGTAGTGTTAGGATGCTCCTGTTGTCTTCATAGATGATAATGGTAGAAACTTGGGTGCAAAGTTGCCAACTACTTATATGAAGTGGTGTGTGAATTTCAAAAAGAAATGAATATTTGGTTAATTTCTTTCGGCAGCATGCGTATGCACTAGAACTTCTGTTTGACCAGTTGCATGAAGGTGCTAAAGCCCTCGATGTAGGATCTGGAAGCGGAATCCTCACTGCATGTTTTGCACGGATGGTAAGAACTTCAATATTCCTTGTGAACTTAATAGAAATATATTAAGTGATTTAGCTATGGTTCCTTCTTACTAGTAGTTTTAACTTTTGTTTTGTTAATATGCTAATTTTAGCCAGGTGGTGGTGGTAGTCGTGGTGGTGATATGCACCTTTAGTGCCAGTACCCAGGAGGCAGAGGCAAGCAGATATCTGAGTTCAAGGCCAGCCTGGACTACAGAGTGAGTTCCAGGACAAACAAACAAATGATGACAATTTTAATATGTGTCATTTAGGATTATAGTTGCAAGTGACTGAACCTTTAAACCCCAAACTGTAGAACCCAAAGAGAATTTATTTAGCGTGTCTAATGGAAAAGCCTAGGGGCTTCCCTGGATTTTTATGTAGCTAGATTTAGAAAGCTAGGCTTTATTTTATTTTATTTTATTTTATTTTATTTTATTTGTTGTTTTGAGGACAGGGTCTCTACATAGCCCTGGCTGTCCTGGAACTCACAGAGATCCAATGCCTGTGCCTCCTGGGACTAAAGGTGTGGCCACCATGCCAGGCTAGGCTAGGCTTTGTTAGTAGTTGGTTTCTCTCTGGGTGCTGATTTGTCTTTACATCTTTTTGCATGTCAGCTTCATGATTTCACAGCCTCTATGTGATCTCAGTATGGAAGCCCAGTGACTCAAACTACGTTCTGCTAAGTTCTCATTTAACAGAAAAGAATGGAGCAGGCCTGGTTTTCAGTCCCTCTTGCATGTTTCTTAAGGTTGCAGGAAGAACTTTTCCCGTAGGCAAGGTGCTGCCAAATGCCTTGTCACTGTACTTGAGTGCTGGGATTAAAGGCATATACCACTGCCCTGGCCTCTGTACTACGTATTTTCATATTTTTCATTAATAGCAGTAGAATTGGATATAAAAATTCCACGTCACATGTTTTATAAAAAAACATTTTATAAATGTTTTTTTGAAACAAGACCTCACAATACAACCCAGGCTTGCCTCAAATTCACTATGTAGTCAGACTGGCCATCCCCAGTCTCAGTTCCCCACATTATAGAATGATTGGTGAGTACCATAGTGCCTAGCTTTTTAAAAAATTTTTATATAATATCTGATTTTTTAAAATTTAATTTATTTTATCTTTTGGATACAAGATCTAACTATGTAGCCTTGACTGGCCTCAAATTCATAGAGATCTGTAAAACTTAAATCTTAAACTCATGTACCATCATGCCTGGCTCAGTATTTAAGTAGTTTTCAAATTACCCTTTTCAGCTAGAGTTCATACAAATTAAATATTGTTAGCTAAATCCTACCTCAAAGTTCTGGATTTAAAAATATATTAGTTTTTTGTTGGTTTTTTTCAAGATAGGATTTCACTGTGTAGTTCTGACTGTCCTGGAACTCACTATGTGGACCAAACCAGGCTCGAGCTCAGATCTGCTTGTCTCTGCCTCCTGAGTGCTGCGTTTAAAGGTGTGTGCCACCACTGCTCAGCAAGAATATATTATTTTTTTTTTGAGACAGGATTTCACCATATAATTATGACTAGCATTCACTGTGTATAACGGTCTGGCCTTGAACTTATTGATCTCCCTGCCTCTGCTTCTCAAGTGTAAGGACTAAAGGCATTTGAGTAAGTTCTAGATTTAAAAATTAGAAATCCAGACTGGGCAGTGGTGGTGAATTTAAGCCCAGCATTCGGGAGGCAAAGGCAGGCAGATCTCTGAGTTTGAGGACAGCAAATCTAGGACAGCTAGGTCTATACAGAGAAATACCTGTCTCAAAAAAAGAAATCTAAAAAGGGTTCAGTTTTCTTAGTATTATAAGGTTTTGTAATTTATTTTAATTTTGTGTGCATGTGTGGTTGGGGGTATTTCCAGACAAGGTTTCTCTATAGTTTTGAACTCACAGAGATCCTCCTGCCTCTCCCTCCACTCAGCTTTATTTTAACTTATGATAAACTGAGAGTTTAGATTAATGGCTTAAACTTTTTTTTATTTCTCATTGCAGAGTATGATTTTAATGAAACATTTTAAAGGTACCCCAGAAAAGCAACTTTAGCCCTGCAAACTCTTGAACTACCTTTTGTTTTCCAGGTTGGACAAAGTGGAAAAGTCATAGGAATTGATCACATTAAAGAACTAGTAGATGACTCAATAAATAATGTCAGAAAGGACGACCCCATGCTTCTGTCCTCGGGGCGAGTACGACTGGTTGGTGAGTAGCAGAAAACTTAGTGTTTATTTTTAAGTGGGTGCAAGCTGAGCAATGCTTAAAGCTAGGGTTGTACCCTTCACTTCATTGAAATATGGAGAATAAAGAACAGCTTATTTTTGTCCATTTTAATGAACACAAAGCATTGCATTGCTTATGATCTTAACTTGGTGTTTTCCTTTTCATCATTGGGGTTGAATTCGTTTTCATGTTTACCCATTTGGATTTTCCTGTCAGGTGAAATAGGCAGTTGTGTGTATTTATCTTTGATACAAGTGTTCTAGAGGTTGGTCATTACTTTACATACATTTTTTCCCTTCTTGGTGGTTTGCATTTTCATTTTATTGCCACCTTACTTTTTTTTTCCTCTGCTCTTTGATCAAACCCATGGCCTTCCATATGCTAGGTAGGGTTCTGTACCACTGAGCTACATCCCCAGCCCTTGTGCTAAATAGAAATTCTTAATTTTTAATGTAGGTAGGCTAACCATTCTTCCCCCAGTGCCTTCTGTCTTAAGGATATACGAAGTCATGAAAGTGTCTTCCCCGACTCCGTTTTCAGCCTCCTCTGTTAGAATTCTCCACACCAAGTGTGACTTGTCCAGGTTTTCAGAGTGTAACTTCTTTTTCAGTGGGTGATGGAAGAATGGGATATGCTGAAGAAGCTCCTTATGATGCCATTCATGTAGGAGCTGCAGCCCCAGTTGTGCCCCAGGCAGTGAGTTGGAAATTTTTTTTTTAATTTGTGTGTTTTAGTCCTAAAAACTTAAAGTATTTGTGTGGCAATGTAGTGATGAGTTCCAGATGAAGTTCAGAATATGCTTAGACTGTCATACGTCCTAGTTAAAGCTAAATGCTAGTAGTTTATTTGATAGAAAAGAAAACGTCTGTGTGAGAGTATTTTGCCAAGGAGGCATATGGTGATGGAACTTGAACTGGGTCTCAAGAGTCATCAGAGCCTCCAGCTCAGAACTTGGGCTGTCTTCATACAGTCTTAGTTTAATGCAGTTTAGTACAAATGGTTGTTGTTAGGCTTGGGGACAGGAGGAATCTGCATATTAAGAGCTCAGTCCTTATTTAGACTTGAAGTATACAAGTGGTGCTAAGAAGATGTAGGTGAAAGGACTGGGTTTGGGAGCAAGCCTGGGGGTGGAGGAAAGAGTCTCCTGTTCTTCATTATGACTGTTAGAACTCAGGAAAACAAGTTGAGGGCAGCTCAGTATTCAAGTGTTCCTTAAAAAATTAAAATGGAAAAAATAAGATCTGGTGACCATATTTTAACTGAAAGCAACCTTCTCTGGGGCAATTCTGTCCTGTCCAAAGTCAGGCTTCTTCTTGCTGGTTTTGAATAGCATAAGGTTGTATTATTCAAAGGGTAACATGTGACTTAACCATTTTCAGACCGGAAGGTGTCTGGTTCTACGTTCATAGGATTATCCTCATCATAACACCAAAGGAGCCCAGCCCTACCTTCCCACTCTGCTGTGTGCCAGGAATCCTAAATGCAGTCATGACATTAGGATTCCCTTACCATTGTCTCAGTGGTGCCCTAGATTCCACAGTAATATGATAGCAGTTCCTTGTTAATTTTCTGTACTTTTCCCTTCTCCGTCTCCCCTTCCACAAAGATCTGGAACACACTACACTGGCATTAGAATTCTCTGTTGCAGTTGGTTCTGTCCAAACATATTGGGCTCTTTACTTAGACCAGGTGTTCTGTCAGGCTCTGTGAGAACAAAGATGAATACAGCATAGTCTTACATCAAATAGCTTGTAACTTAGTAGGGGAGGCTAAGAGATAAATGGTTAAGTGGGGAGTTGGTTACTGTGCTCACCAAAAGGGAATGAAAGCTGCTGTTTTGGATGAGGGGCAGTGCAGAAAGTTGAAAGAACAGCATTGTAGTTTGACATCACTGAGTACTTTGCTGAGTCCATGCAATAGAGGGATGCACAGACCCTCTGATGGAATGCCAGTGACATAGAGATGGCTCAAATGTGGGTGGGTGTGCTGTCTGTTAGAGATGCACGGACTGTGCCACTTGTAAGGGACTTGAAGCACTGTGGGTTTTGTTATGTTCGAGGGATCCTGGAGTCAACATTAAGAAGTAACTACATGAAGCATGTTTCTGCTTCTGCCCACGGATGTTGAACATTGCTTACAGTGCTGTTGCATGACTGGCTGTTTCACATCTGTAACTTGGTGTGTATGTGGGGGTTTTCTTTTTTCTTCTAGCTAATAGACCAGTTAAAGCCTGGTGGAAGATTGATATTGCCAGTCGGTCCTGCAGGAGGAAACCAAATGTTGGAGCAGTATGATAAGCTACAAGATGGCAGTGTCAAAATGAAGCCTCTGATGGGGGTGATATACGTGCCTTTAACAGATAAAGAAAAGCAGTGGTCCAGGTGGAAGTGATTTTCTCTTCTGCTCTTTCTTCTTCCACACATTCAAGGTGAAAGGGTGTGGACTTTAAGACTTTAGACTTCGAGGGCTGGTTTAGGTGGCTTCCTTCATGCTACTCCATTAAAGCATCAGAAACTCATCACATGAAATGTGTGACAAGTGTTGCATGGTCTGTTCTTTCAGTACCCTTAGAAAAGGGAGGGTGAAAAGCTGGGTGGTGGTGGTGGTGCACACCTTTAATCCCAGCACTCGGAGGCAGAGGCAGTTGGATCTCTGTGAGTTCAAGGCCAGCCTGGTCTACAGAGCGAGTGCCAGGACAGCCTCCAAAGCAATACAGAGGAACCCTGTCTCCAAAAACCAAAAAATAAAAACGGGGGGGGGGGGCACGACACTTTTCCTACCTATTTGTAAGTCATGTTTATAACTGCTCTGATAGGTATGGAAGTAAATGCTTTGATCTGGGAAGAGGCCACCATTTCTCGCCCTGTTCACTCCCTCTAATATTACTGGGACACAGAGAAAGAAAGAGTTGGAAAGGGGAAAGATGTTTGTCCTTGTTTTCAAAGAATGTCAGAGCCCTGGAGAGGACAGTCTAGCTTTTGGGTTGATTTCTTTGGGTCAGTTCCTAGGTGTGCACCCCGGTTGCAGAGCCACTGTAAGAAGTAAATGTGTCAGCATGCTCTAGGTTAGGCCAGACAGTTTTGTGCTCTTTGAGCTTCGTTTGGGGAAGAGAGAGATTCCAGAAGCTGTCCAGTGAGTTACTGGGTCTCACAGCCTGCCTGGAGGAGATGCAGCACAGCCCTGCTCTCACAGCTCATTGCATGGCTCAATAGAAAGCTGCTGCATGCCTCTGCTCAGTATCATAGCATCAGCTGAAAGTGTCTCCATGGAGAGACGTGAGGACAGCATATTGGAGTGCTGTGGCTAGATGCTTGAAGCCGATGACCAAATAAGGGTGGACTGATGGTATCTTTGCCCTAGAATCTTTTCTAGTTGACAAGCTTCTTATTTCAAGAGGGTTTTTAGGTTTGATTTTGCTTTTTAAATAAGTGGCAATTGTAAGAACAACAGAACTCTTAATTTTGCTTTCTGTAAAGAGGACAGGCACCTTTTAATGACTTTTAGAATTTCTGGTGTGTGTGCACACGGGCATGTGTGTATACCACAGCATGGGGATACAGAGAACAATTTGGAGAAGTCAGTTCTCTTCTATGTGGGACCCAAGCACTGAGCTCAGATTCATTCATTCTTTCTTTCTTTCTTTCTTTCTTTCTTTCTTTCTTTCTTTCTTTCTTTCTTTCTTTCTTTCTTTCTAGATTTATTTATTTGCTATGTATAGTGTTCTGCTTACACACCAGAAGAGGACACCAGATCTCATTATAGATGGTTGTGAGGCACCATGTTGTTGCTGGGAATTGAACTCAGGACCTCTGAAAGAGCAGCCAGTGCTCTTAACCTCTGAGCCATCACTCTAGCCCTGAGCTCAGATTCTTAGGCAGGGTAGGCAGTGTCTTTAACCAATGAGCCATCTCGTTGTCTCTTAAGTGAGTGTTTAATTGCAAAAGTTATAATCTAATTCAATTTGCTAAACAGTATTTTACTCTTGGGTTTGTGGCCATCTGTGAATATGTTAGATTAATCATGCTACACCCTAAAAAAAAGAGAAAAACAAAACTCGCCATCTCCCATACCTACTTACCAATAGCCCGCCTTTCTTCTTCATGCTGGGATTCTGTCTGGCTTGAGATGCCCATTGCTTTGCACATGCTGTCATAGTCTCTGAGTAAACCAGTTTCTTTGTAGTTATCCACTGCTTCTGATTCAGTCTTTCTAGACCACTTCTGCAGTGACCCCTGAGCTTTGGGGCAGGGGCATTGTCATTTAAGAAAAGTGGCTTAAAAGAGAAAGATGCCATTCAGCAGGGTTCAAGCAGAGGGTGTTTTTTTGTTTTGTTTTGTTTTTTATTAGGGAAAGGGAAAAGGGAAGGAGGGAGACCAGCTTCCAGAGGCAGGAGCAGCAGGAGAGAGGAGAGAGAGGGGGGAAAGGGATGGGAGGTGGGCAGGGCCCTTTTAAAATGGAGCATAGTGAATGTGCACAGGTGTTACTCTTAGTGGCTGCAGCTGAGGATGTATCCTGTCAGAACCCCAAGGACCGGCCAGTACAGATGCCTGAATGCTAACAGGTGTGATACCCCATTTAGGCCTGAGAACTTCACAAACACTTTTTCTCTGCACATTGATTAGTTGTGGGTCTCTGTGTTAATTACCATCTTACTGCAAAAAGGAGCGTGTTTGATGATGTTTGAAAGATACACTAATCTATGGGTATAATGAGAAGTCATTAGGTATCTATTTAATACTATGTTATATTAGCAGAGTAATAGTAGTAGATTCTCCCCTATGATTTGTCTAACCACAGGTCCTTGGCCCTGATAAAGATACCAGGTATGGGTTCCATCTTGTACAGTTAGTCTTAAATTTAATCAGTCTTAAACTGCTTGGTTACTCCCATGACATTCATGCCACTATTGTACCAGTGGGCATATCAGGCAGTCATTATTGTACTTTGCAGAATTCACAGCTGGATAAAGATAGGTGATTCCTTTTCTCCTTCCAGTAGTGTACATAACATTTTCCAGTACTGTGAAAGCTAGCCAGTAGGGATGAATCTTCCAGGTTAATACCAGGGTGAGTTCCCCATGTGCTGCAGCTCAAGTATGAGATGCCTTCAGCAATAGGATCTTACTGACAGTTTCTGGAAAATAATAAGTAATGGCAATAGCCCTTAGCAAGCAAACACCTCCACTTCTTCATAAAGAGATTCCCTTCTTTCCAATTACATATGCTTTAGAATCCCCCTACCCCAAACAAAAACAAAAACCCTGCATCTTCCTGGTTCAAATTATTGTGTATTTACAACATTACAAAGTCTATTAAACTTTTAGGAAACAGAAACATTTGCGGATTTGAGTTATTTCCTGGTAATACATCTCATTTGTTCTTTTTTTTATTTTAATTTTTATTGTTTATGTTTGAGTGTTTGCTTACATGTATATATGTACAACACATGTGTTCCTGATGTCAGGAGGCCAGAAGAGGGTATCAGATCCTCTGGAACTAGAGTTACAAATGGTTGTGAGCCTCCATGTGTGGGTTCTGGGGATCTTCTGCAAGAATATCAAGTTAAGAACCGTGAGTTCTTAACCAGTGAGCCATGTCTCCTCCTCATTTGTTCTTTTTTTTTTTTTTTCCTCCCCAAGACTTTCTTTTTTTTTTCCCCAAGACAGGGTTTCTCTGTGTAGCTTTGTAGACTGGGCTGGCCTTGAACTCGCAGAGATCCACCTGCCTTTGCCTCCTGAATGCTGGAATTAAAGGTGTGTGTCACCACCGCCCGGCTCCTCATTTGTTCCTGAATAACAATATGTATGATTTGGTATTACTAACACGGAGCTATTAAAACTTAATACAACAAACACACATGCTTATAACCTACTGACTATATTTTAACATATATAGCCATTTTAAAGAGCAAATTTGGGCATGCTACTTTTTATTATAAATGATCTGTATGTGTAAGTCAGATAAGAATTAGCAGAATTTTGAACACTGGGGAAAATTTGGTAACTAAAAGTTGAATGGAGCTGGGCGGTGGTGGCATACACCTTTAATCCCAGCACTTGGGAGGCAGAGGCAGGCGGGTCTAAGAGCCTAATTTCTTTCTCTTTATTGGGCAAATGTGAACAAACTCCAGATGTGCCCTAGTAGTAGATCACTTGCCTAGCAAGTGATCCCCAATATCTCCTTAAGTTTGATCCCCAATATCTCCCCAAAAGAGAAAACTCAGTGGAGAGGATATTTGGAAATGTATTATATTGTTGATGGGCATTAGGATTTATTTACTAATTATTTAATGCCTTGCAAGAAGTAAATACAAGTTTTATAATTCAGTGTCCTAATTCATGCTTTAAAAGACACAGGCATTCAAAACTGTGAATAAAGCAAGAAAATCCTCTGTAGACTGATAATCTTAACATTTGCATGAATTGTGGTAAAGATTGTTCTGTGCTAATTATAATAGTGTTGTAGAAGACAGTATTCGGAGGAAAGGGAGCGAATAATTATCATGTAAAAGATAATCCAGGGGCTGGAGAGGTGGCTTGACTTATAAAGTGCTTGCTGTGCAAGAATAAGCGCTTGAGTTCAGATCCCTGGCACCACATAAAATATGGCTGTGGTGGCATGTCTGAAACTCCAGCTCTAAGTGGATAGGGGAACGGGGAAACCGTGAGTTCTGTGGACTTACTGGCCAGCCAGCCTTGATGCTCTAGATTCAGAAGTAGATCCCATATACAAACTAAAGTGGAGACTGACTGAGGGAGACACCAGGCACCATCCTCTGGCCTCTGTGTACACCATATACACACACTCATAAACACACCAGTGATGTAACATAAAAGGAGGCTTATTAGAGAGAGAATTTTTTTCTTGCACCATTTATATAATACAGCTTGAAAGGCACACTATTTGGTAAGCCCTGAACACGGCACTCCTTGGGACATGAGCATTCTCACTTCATGTCTCTTCCATGCCCGAAGCTTTTACAAAGCATTTGTCTTCGGTGTTGCTGAGACAGGGTGGTGGAGGAATGCAGAGCTGAGCTTCTGCCTATCGCCAGTTAGCATCTCCCTGTTTGCTGCGCACACTTCTGTCTACACATAAGTATGTCATACATTCCCCTGAGTCATTTGAGAATTAGCTGCAAAATCATACTTCTTTATCCCTAAAGTACTGAATGTTAGTGATGCTTTTGTCACCTAAGTTACCTTTAGATGAGGCTTTTGGGTTTTCTGATGCTTTTACTTATTTTTCCACACTTAATGGTTTATTGAGGTAGAATTTGTATGCCATACAGATTCCTTTAGACCATTTTGATTCCTTCCGCTCACTGGCAGTTGCTGGCCCAGTGCTGCACACAGCTGAGCGAATGGTTTCTTTGGAACTGATGAGGCTGCCTTATGGAATTAGCGGACAGGTATAAGATGCCTACAGATGGGCTTTTCTCTGGAGAGGTGTGGCTGCTGTTGGCCAAGTCTACAAGTGCTAACAGACTCTAGGAGGAAAACTCTTTATCCTGTGTTGTGACTAGAAGGCTTAAAAATTTGAACTCTAAATGTTTAAGCTATCATCTTAGAATAAATAAGTAGATTAGCAAGATGATCCTAGACAGAAGTCATAATTTTTTCTCTGAATTTTTTTTTGCCTCAGAGGAAGAAGTGTTACCTTTAATCATTTTAGGCTTTGGTTTCCTGCTGTGCTGTGGAGTAGCATGAAAGATGCTTGGGGTGGCTGATGTGCAGTTTTGCTTTGGCTTGGAGTTGTATGTGCTTTCTTCCTCTTACTGTACTGCTTGGAATCTGCATATTCCACTGACTTGAGTGTTGGGTCTAAATTGTTGAGTGCCAGTTCACAGCATGTAACTCCTAATTACGCTTTTCTCTTTCTCCCCAGGGATGAACTGTAACGGCAACATGAGCTTGACCAGTCTATACCATTGCAGTGGATTGCTCATCTCAGTCCTTAAAGCATCTGAAAACCAACAGCATCACAGCTTGTTTTGGACTTTGTTAAACTCTTATTTTCAGCATGAAAATGTGTGGTTTTGTAGGACTTCCTAATTCAAAGAGGCGCAGAGCCAGACTGGTAGAGGAGGGCTGGCTGCAAAGTATAACTTTGTATGTTGTTTTAACACGTCCACATTTTACTTTAAAAGGATTAAAAGAAAGGGTTCTCCACATGCAAAGCTTAGTTTGTAAATTAGTTTTGAAGAGTGGCTTTGCTGTTCTTGACACTTAATTCTGTTCCAATATTAATTTATCAGACTTCTTTTGTGCATCAGATAACACCACCATTCACAAGTTTAGGTTTCTTGGTAGCTGATGTCTGTTAGATGCTACCAAGAAAATAGAGATGAGCTTTCTTTTTAAAGCTTTTGATGTGGTGTCATAGGATAGCATGTTGTAGATACAATCAGCTGCTGTCACCTTAAAACTAGGTGTTTGTAAATACTGAAACTTAAGACGCCGACGGCAGGTGGTGTGCTGTAAACACTCAGCTGTTCAGATTGGACATCTCTGATGTAGTTTTCCTCTCTTTAAAAATGATAGGAGGTTGTAGCTCAATATTGTTTTCTGTTTCTAGTTTGCTGCTGATACTGTATCTGCACCTAACACTCTGTGTAAGCTGTTGCTAGTCTCTGCACAGTTTATTCAGCGCTGCTTTGCCAAATAAAATTAAAAGCAAAAGAAGTGTTGATGGCGTTTGAATCTAGAAGAACTGAGGTCTGTTAGGTCCAGATGCTACCCACAGTCATGGGGAAACTCTCCTGCTGCTGCGTTTTGTGAACTCCTAGGAGGTAAATATGAACATGGTTGCATTTCTTCAGGACAGAGACTATGCATTCATTGTCTCTCACTGCCTTCCCAGCCCAGGGCTTGCTATGTAGTAGCCCTGGGGTAAGTGCCCAATGAGCGAGTGGCTGAGTTTAGTATCAGGGAAGAATGTGGTTGAGAATACACTTACCAAAATCTGTTTCATCTATAAATAGACTCATTTAATAGCTGCAAAGTGTGTGTCTGTGAAGGCAGTGGCACTTTGAGGATCTTATTTAAATACGGTTTTATATTTTCTAAGAAGACATTAGTTTTTGTGAAGATTCTAGAACTTGAGGGAAGATTACCAGCTTCTGATGAGGGGTGGCTGGCATCCCCAGCAGAGCCTTCCTCCCATGTGGTGGGCATTTAGTTGTGGCACATGATGCTTAGTGTGAGAGAACCCCTTCCACACTCTTCAAGTCTTAGACACTAATTTAAGTTATGCAGATGCCATCTCACAAGTGTCTTCTTGGCTAAGGTCTCAGTCACAGGAAACTAGCATTCTGTGGTTCCACAGACTTGAAAATCTTACCCAGCTTCAGTTCACTGCTGGTTGTGGCTTTGGAATCTTGGCAGTGAACTTTGGTATCCGGGATGCATGGTCATTTGAAGTGTGTGTAAAGGTCAAATGTTCTTTCAGGCTTAAAGCAAATAAATTTTGAAACCTACTAGTCTGGATCCTTGGTAGTCATTACAGCTTACTACATGCAGATCCCTCCGCTAGCTTTTGGAATAGAAAAAGGCATTCCACTCCAGTAGTTTTCAGTCTAGTTTAGGAGACGGTATATAAATAAGCATCATAAACTACCACCCAATTTGTACAGAAAACGCTGTGTCCAAGTGTTGTTCTTTGACGTTAAACTTTTAGGAGGTGAAATTTTAGGATGTTAGATAAACAGCTAATTTTAACAGTGTCACTAAGTGGGTAGAGATAGAAGTAATCATTTTAATGAAATCTGAACCTTTAAAAAAAGGTAAACTTGCCAGGCGTTGGTGGCGCACACCTTTAATCCCAGCACTTGGGAGGCAGAGGTAGGTGGATCTCTGTGAGTTCGAGACCAGCCTGGTCTACAAGAGCTAGTTCCAGGACAGCCTCCAAAGCCACAGAGAAACCCTGTCTCGAAAAACCAAACAAACAAAAAATTAAACTCATTCCCCTAGTAGTTGCCATTTATTTATTTATTTGGTTTTTGTTTTGTTTTGGGGGGGGGTTGCTTGCTGCCAAGCCTTAGGACCTGAGTTTCAGCCCCAAGACCCATATGGTGGAGGAGAAAAGTGACTCCTGCAGATGGTCCTCTGACCTTCACATGCACATCGTGTGACGTGGGGGCATAAGCCTGACCTCCCTGCACTGGGAGGTGGAGGCAGGAGGATCACAAGCCTTTTTCAGCTGCAGAGAAAGTATGAGGCTAGCCTGGACTCCATGAGACCCTGCCTGCCTTTAGCAAAGAAAAAGATCCCCACAGTGCATCTCTTTCCTAACACACTAACTTTAAATATCAGTGGATTCTAAAATAGAGTTATTTTAACTTCATAAAGTCTTAAAGCTATTCTTAGTGTGTGATTACCACCTTGGAGTTTATAAGGTCTCCCTCTCTCTGAGGTAGGTTTTCTAGTTTCTAGTTTAGTGTTTAGTGTGCCACTAAAGGAACTCATACCAGTGTGGTAACCCAGCACTAATAAACAAATAGCAAGCCTAGGTCATTTTGTAAATTGTTCTGGAATTCAACAGGCTGATAACTTATTTTAGGTAAGTGCTACAATTCTTGCAGCTTCTAAATAATTTCTTACAGCTCCTGTGTTCCTAGTTCCTAATGACCTAATAGCTTAGCGTGCTTTGTGAAAAGGGCTGTGACTGGAGTTTGGTTGCATCTGTGAGTTTCTCCTACCATTTTTCAGAAAGATGGCAGTATTTAAAGGCTGTCAGTAGAAGGATCCACTTGAAAGGGGACTGGCCCAGGCAAGCTTGTGACTGTGCATTGTAATATAATAAAACGGAAATGAAGCCTAATAATTTGTTCATCTTGAATTCTTTTAATCTCCTTGTTACAGTGGCTCCTCTTTCCCACCAGCCTCTGGGACTTTGTCTTTTTCACTGGTTTTGTGTTTGTTTTGGGTGACACTCCCTGCCTGCGGGGAAGACAGCGGAGTGATGGCTGTTACTCTGTCAGCACTCACAGGGTGCTGCTGAACTCTGGAAACCTCTGGGATCCTCACCTCTCCTTACCTTCTTTCTGCCATTCAACATGAGGCCAACCCTTCAGGGGCTGCTGAATCCGAATAGTTTAAATGACAGTCCCAACAGGATGCACATAACACACATGAAAATTGTCAACAGGCCAGTGATAGCAGTACAAAGGACATTTTAATTGTGAGTGGCTTTGAGGCACCCTACACATTTGGCTGTGTCTTCCAAAACAAGCTTCCAAGTTGCCTGGCCAAGGTAGACCCTGTTGGTGGCTTTGATTGGATTTCTCATATGAATATCATGCAGATTGAGTCCTTCGTATTCTTAAACAGTTCTACTGATAAACTAGGCTTGGAGGCAAATAGAATTATGAACCTCTTGTTTGGATTGAGGGAAGATACAGTAAAAAGCAAAATCAATAAATGGAAGGTGTTGGTGTGTCAGTAATGGGGCCAAACAAGTTCTCAGTCATTACAAGGAAGAGATGGAAAAAGGTTCCCACTGAAGAGACTGTATTTGGGACATGAATGACATCCAATACCAAATTTGCTTATGGGAAGTGGGGAGTATGTTGCTGTCACCTTGTCTTAACAACCAAGTTGACAAGTCAGTTTTAAGATGCTGGGAAGGCTTAAGGAACAGGCATGAAACAGTACATTTAAGAGGTAAATGTGGCCACTGTGTCCCTTTAGTTTGTGAATTGTAGAGGCAGGCCTTGAGTCAGTCATTGAGACGATGGCTCTTGAGGGTCTCACCCAGACTTCAGATGAGGAATATTAGTTAGGGCTTGATTTTCTCCAGACCGTCATGTGGCTTGAGGCAACTCCCTTTTCTGCAACCCTCAGTTTTCCTCTTTGTGAAAATAGTAGGTATGTTTAAATCCAAATAATACAGTAACAGTTTGGGCAAATTTAGTATTGTACAATTTACAATAAAGGAGCTTTTTAAAGGCATAAGAATAAAATAGTTTATTAAAGGAGTAGTACATACAAGACATCTTTTCTCCAGTACTTCGAAACAATAGCAATACTAGATTGTAGTTAATTCCTTTGTATATAAAAGAAGTGCAGAAAGAAACATGCCTTATCAGTTTCTATTTTTACTAGGTATGGCTGTAGGTGATGTCCTCTATAAAAACAAGCCACATAGCATCGGAGCACAGATAAGTTCCCTCAGTTTGTCTCTCAGATACCATTGTAACATTTATGCCAGTGCTCAGCAAAAGGCTAGAGTTAGAGTTTCAAGAGACAAAAGCAAACATTTATTTTTCTAGAACTACCCATTTATTATTACATTTGATAGGTTGGTTATATTCTCTCACCCAAATCCAGCCCCTTGCTAAAGGAACCACCTACTTCACATTCAGTCTAAACAAATGAGACTACAGTGTCTTTCAATATTTGCCACTTGCAGTAAAGAAAATAGGGACATCATGATTATAAATGGGCACCACACTGTGTAGTCCCCAGAATAATCTCCAGAGTGTATAATCTGGCATTACTGCCTGCCCATTTAAAAGGAAGATGCTAAGCCGGATGCTAATTTCCTGTAAAGCTGAGTTTGTGCAAAAGTGCTTTCTGCTCTGGGGATGCATCCTGACATTAGCTGATTGTACATTATAACATTCTAATAACGTAAAAGACAGCAAGGCAGGGGTGTAGCTCAGTGGTAGAGCACTTGCTTAGCAAAAACAGGCTCCCAGGTCCCACCTCCAGCCCTGCAAAACAACACAAGGGGAAGCATCTGGCTCATTCCATTGAATGGCCTGTGATACTTAAACATGGCGACATTTTTACAAACACCATACCCAGACATCAATGTTTTGATTGATAATTCGCACTTTTTCATCAGAAAGGCTCAGTGTTGAAAACCAGTGCACATATAAAGCAGTCACTGTACTTACACCATGAAGCAGAGGAAACATTAATTGTCCTCAGTCACTCCCTGACTAAGCTTCTATTTGCTTTTGCCTGCCAGGTCCCCTGCTGCTACCTTGATCTCAGGTCACAACCACCTAGAGTTGCTCCTAACCAGAAGGGGTTCTGCAAAGGTCACCCAAACATGGCAGCCACCACCATGGTCTGATGTCAGAAGCATGGGGTGGGGTGGGGAACCCATATTCCTCCCCAGCAGGACCTCACTGACCTATTCAGAAAGTTCATAACATACAAAGCTGCTATCGGGAACATCTCACTGAGTGTAAATCCACTTAAGACCCCTTTTCAAAGATATTTGACAGAGGAAAATAAAATGGAGCTCATGAGAACTCAGTGGAGAAGACAGTGGGAACACAAGGGGAAGGTGCCGGGGCCAGCAGTTGGCACCTCACAAATGAAAGGCGGGCACTGCTGCCATCTGTCACTTTGTGGTATACTGACTTTGTCTCAGCATACTATAAACTTCAATCTCATGAATTCCTCTCTATCTTTCATGACACTGACTTCCCAGGAAAATTGTTTCATGATAAATCAAGGTTTAAAACAAAAGGTCTTAATGATAGAACCCAAAGAACAAATTGTAAGTGAAGGCCATTCTCAACCCCTAGCTGATTAAGTAACTTCATTACAGATACATCCCATTGATGAGGTAGTCAGATTCCTCAGAGGTAATGGGACGGGCCTTCTTAAGTTTCTGCTTCACCAGTCGCAGTCGGCAAGTCACCATGAGAAGTAACAAAGCCGTGATGGCCAGACCCAATGCCAGGGGTAACACTGCACCTATGCAAGGTTTGGAAGGGGAAAACACTGGTCAGTGGTTGGTAACAGTGACAGCAACCGTATGATGAGCAACTGGCATGCATTATTTTACCTCATCTGAACAACTCCAGTTGGTACTAGTATTATTGCTGCTTTTCTGACAAAGGTGCAAAAAGGTTAATTCCCCTGTCTAGTTAAGTATTGTAGGTCTAGTCTTATACCCAGACCTCTTAAAAACCAAATTCTTTACCAGGTTCCTGCAGAAGTTTCCTGCCATCGGGAGTAAAAGACACTGCAATGAGATCATCCTCATCTCCAGCTATCCTAGAGACTGCAACCATGAGAAATGTTTTCATTAGAGTCATCTGACATTTATGGATCCACACACGGGCATCATCTTATCAGCTATGTCTGACTCCTGATTTCTGGTTCTGGTAGGGCTTAAGATAATCATTTCCAGGGCTTGAGAGATGGCTCTTATTTCTCTTCCGGAGAATCCAGCTTCAATTCCTAGCACCCACAAGACAGCTCACAACCATCTGTAACTCCAGTTCCAGGGGATCTGATGCTGTCTTCTGGCCTCCTCAGGCACTAGGCACACATGTGGTGCATAGACACACACACACAGGCAAAACACCCATATACATAAAATTAAAAATTTTTTTAATTTTTTAAAATCAGGGATCCTACTGTTTTCCAGTAGACCATTTATTGAAAACTAACATCAAATATGTTGGTATACTTGGTCAGCCCTAAAAACAAATGCATACAGGCAACACTAAACAGATTGAGCATGGTGTGTGTGAAACAATAAAAAGGGGCCATGAAATTTTGGGGGGTGGGGAGGGTCCATGGGAGAAGGGAGTGATGTAATCATGTTTTAATTAAAACTAAAATTGTAAAAATATGCTGGTGTAACTTTGGCCACTGGTTTTTCCTTTGGAGCTGGATGGACCTAGGCAGCAGACCAGAGTAGCCTGTACTTTTCCAGAGTCGATGCAGCATGGCAGATCTGTCTCGAATCAAACTCAGCAGGCTCTATTCTTAGTCTCCTCTACACAGGAGGAGGGCCAGGTTTGTGATGATCATGAGGCTATTTTTAGTTGCACCTCCTTGCATCTGGACAAACTAGAGGAGCCAACATCTCCACGTATAGCTTAGTTCTGAAACATTTCAATCTCTTATTTATTATCTGTTGATGAATAGCATTCCATGTGCCAGACACGGGCCTGAGTGCTAGTAATCAAAGATAAGCAATTTTTTATTTGTTGCTCACAGAAACACCCCATGGATAAGCTAATACCAAATGCTAGCTTTATAGCTGAAATGATTGAATATGTACAACCACATAACATTGTAGCCACTTTACAAACAGCAGAAACTGGGGCATCTAATACTGTGTCTTACATGGTGCAGCATGCCCATCCATCCAGAACTGATCCTGTGGTCTAGTCCCTACGGTGCTGATTTCTCCAGGGTGGATGTGAGAACATGTCTGAATAACTTAAGTCTGAGAGGACAGGCATTAACTAGACAGACGGCCATGAAGTGTCAATGTTACAACGTCAGAGCTGTGTTTAAAATCTAATGGAGGGATGTAGTGTCTGGCCAGTAAGATTTTTACTAGAGTGATTTGGATCTCTGTGGGAGCTCAGTTTGGGGGAGGGAGGAAGATAAGTTTGTTACATGTGTTTGTTCTTGAATATAGGTATATACTTTGGAGCATTTTCTGATTGACATGCCTGTAAGGAAGTGGTTCTCAACCTTCCTGATGCTGTGACCCTTTAATACAGTTCTGAGTATTTGTCTGTGGGCATATCTGCATGTAGGTGGACCCGGCTGGAGATGGACAGGGGAGCACTCTCACATATTCCTGATGGCTTAGGTGACCCTTTCATTCAACCCCCAAAGAGTCACAACCCACAGGTTAAGAACCACTGCTGTAGGGGCTCCAGGTGGAATGTCTCTTTGATTATCTGGTCTAGATATCTAGGGGATGTTAGGATAAGGATAGTAGCTGCTACAATGAAAGTGAGATCAATAGATAGAAAGGAAGAAGGGGCAGGAGCATGCTCCAAAGGGCAAGAGTCAAAGGACAGTGATGCAGAAAGCCAACAGAAGGAAACGTCATCACAGGAAGTGGTTCTGATGAATGGGATGCTCAGGATGGAGCTTGGGGAGACCGCTGGATTAGCAAATGGAAATTTACTTATGGCAGACAGGGCTACTTTCTATTTTGTGCATTGAAAGAGACCTGATTGCTTGCAGCCACAGAGGGTATGAACCAATGAGACTAACAGATGATGGCAAGATGCACCTGGGGAAACAGCTACATCAAGATTCAGGACAGGTGGCCGTGGAGAGAGGGAGGAAAGGGAGAGAGGGTTGGGCAACACAAGTCAGTTTGAGGACACGTAGCTGAGGTAGTTCTCTCCAGGCAGCCTTAATTTTTAGGCATTCAAAACTGGCCCCAGGAGTGGCTGGTCTCACCTTGACATGACCTCAAGCTGATTTCACACTAGGGGCTTTTCAAAGTCTAGGTTAGCATCCTACAAGGACTGTCCCGTGTCTGGAACATAAAGAAAAAGATTCAGAAGTTGCTTTAGTGTCTATGGATATCAAATTTTAGGGTAAGGCCACTGCTCCCTTAGAATTGTGAAAGAAAACCCTGAAGCAAATGCTCAGCTTAGAAACGACTTCTAGAGTCACCTCCCATCTCACAGCCCTGCAGTCTAGAAGCATCCAGAAGCACTGCTTCTTGCATTCCAGTGCTCCGAGGTTTTAGAGGCCACTACAGGCTCCACGTGCCATCCTTTTGAAAGATGTTTTCAAAAGGTCAAGTGGCCTGTAACTGTCAGGACCAAGACAAAGAAAGGCTTTGTTTCCCTCCCACAGAAGCTCAGAGACCCCCAAACCTCTTCAGTTTGGAACACAACAGTCCTAGTTCTGCCTGCCCAGGCAAGGGCAGTGTTTAGGATAAAGATGAGGAGTAAATTTGGGGTAGACATCTCAATCCTGTGGCTTAGGCCCACCTTGGGTGACAAAGCAAAATTCATGAAAATTTGTATTTTCCAAATCAGGTATTAGGTTGCTAATTTCTGTTTAGGGCTCTGTTTCTCTTCCCTTCTCTCTCTCTCTCTCTCTCTCTCTCTCTCTCTCTCTCGTGTGTGTGTGTGTGTGTGTGTGTGTGTGTGTGTGTGTGTGTGTGTGTGTGTGTACATGGTCTTGAAGGTGCATGTACACATGTGTGGAGATCAGAGGTTGATACTGAATATCTTTCACTATTTGCTTCAGACAAGGTCTCTCACTGTACCTAGAACTCATTTATTGGCTAGAAGAGCTGTCCACTGAGCTCTAGGGACCCACCCATTTCTATTTCCTTCAAGGCTAAGATTATATATCTGTGTGACTAATGCCCAGGTCCTATGTGGTTGCCACAGACCCAAACTTAGGTCCATGTTCTTGTATATTGAGCATTTTACTGGCTGTGGTGGTTTAAAAGAAAACACCAGGCTGGTGAGATGGCTCAGAGGTTAAGAGCACTGACTACTCTTACAGAGAGCCTGAGTTCAATTCCCAGCAACCACATGCTGGCTCACAACCATCCATTATGAGATCTGGTGCCCTCTTCTGGAATAAAGATGTGCATGTAGATAGAGCACTCATGTACATAAAAAATAATTTAAAAAAGAAAATGACCCTCAAAGGGAGTAGCACTATTAGGATGTGTGACCTTGCTGGAGTAGGTGTGGTGTCATTGAAGGAAGTGTGCCACTTGTGGAGCTGGGCTTTGAGGTCTCAAATATGCTCAAGCTACTGCTCAGTATCTCAGTCCACTTCCTTTTGCCTGTATATCAAGATGTAGCCAGCACCATGCCTTCCTGCATGTCACAATGCTACTTGCCATGAAGATAATGAACTAAACCTCTGAAATTGTAAGACGGCACCTCAATTAAATGTTTTCCTTATAAGAATTGTGTCTCTCAGCCGGGCGTTGGTGGCGCACACCTTTAATCCCAGCACTCGGGAGACAGAGGCAGGCAGATCTCTGTGAGTTCGAGGCCAGCCTGGTCTCCAGAGTGAGTGCCAAGATAGGCTCCAAAGCTACACAGAGAAACCCTGTCTTGAAAAACCAAAAAAAGAAAAAAAGAAAAGAATTGTGTCTCTCACAACAATAGAAACCCTAAGACACTGGCTGAGCCATCTTCCCAACCCCTCATTTTTTTGAGACAGAATTTTGCTACATAGTCCACACTGGTCTCACACTTGTGAACCTCATTCCTGCCTCTGCCTCCCAGGGCTGTAATCCTAAGTGGTTACAGGTATGTCCCACCGTGCCTAGTTTATTCTTTGCTGTTTAATTAGTTGACATAGTTTCTTCAATACTTTCAGTTTGGGTAATTTGAAATTATTTTAACCCCAGCTCCTTCTAAAACACAGTGACAGAATTGTCAGTAACCAGATAGAGTGAAGCCTCTCTTTTTCATACCCATGCTTAAACATGTATTAAAATTGCTTAATAAATTCCAACTCTGTATAATAAAAAACTAAGATGATGAATTATCTATTCTGCTCGTATGAACAGGAATGATAGTCAAACCATCTTAGCAACTAGAATTGTTAGTTTAACAACTCCATTAGAACTGAGACTCCAGAGACATGGGCTCCAGAGGGAGTCTGGCTTCTCTCTCCATGCTGACAGGTGACTGGGAATCTTATTCCAACATTCTGAGACAAGCCAAATCCAATCAGCCAGCAGACTGCAGGAGATGCAGACAGCTGCTTGACATCTGTGTTATGCTAAGACATCAGTTGTTTAAGAATTAAATTTGGTATTATCTGGCCATAAAAAGGTCACAAAGACTATTCTAGGGGGAATAGACAGCTTAGTAATGTTTAGATCAATAGCTTAGGGATTATGTTTTATTCTGCTAGGTTCTTTTGCTGACTTATTGTGCAGAATTCTGAAGAAAAGACTGTCAGTGTGCTCTTTCCAGTTAAAAACAACCCAAATGGTGAAGCTATCCTTCCACATGTCGGTGCTCTAACTGCTTCCTGTACCTTCCACATTCATGTCATGTTCTGTCATTAAGAGCACAGCCTCTTCCTCACTCTTCTACCTCACACAATTCAATCTTAACAGCCATCATTTGCAACTAAACCATGGAGTAGACACTAAACACTGTGTTGCATTCACCCTCCACAGCCACCCTGTGAAGTAGTACTAGTTACTGCTGTCACCCCATGAAGTCACTAGAATCCAGAGAAAAGAACCTGACTGTGCTTGTGTGGCAAAGCCAGAATTTGAACTGCGGTGTCTGATCTGTCCTGGAACTCTGTAGATCAGACCAGCCTTGAACTCAGATATCCACCTGGCTCTGCCTCCCGTGTGTGGGGACTAAAAGTGTGAGCACCATGCCCAGCTGAGCCTGTATTCTTGACCTCTGTGACACAAGTGTGACTTTTCCTACAGAGTGATCCCTGGAAGGATGTATGAAAGACAAAGTGAGATCCAAAGGTTGTAGGCCACTGTCAGGGTCACCATGATGCACTGTGACCTTAAGAGGAGAAGACAGTTCTGGTCACTGGAGCTCTGCATCAGCCTGAACTGTCACGGCTCCACCTGCCATGCAGTCAGGGCACAGGGAGGTTCTGTGGACCTCACTGCCCTGCAGGGTATTTCCAAGGCAAACACTGACCTGCTTCTGGGGCTGGGTGTTCCCCTCGTGCTTGATCATTCTTGGACTGGAAAATGTAACTTCCTTCTTGGTTTTTTCTGGAGGAATTACCATCTATGGAAAGCAAACAGATAATATGTTAAAGGGACATTAAAAAACTTCAGGAATTAGCATGGAACTACAGCTTTATTTACCTTTTAATTTAGGTACATGTCTGTCTGAGTGTATGGCGTGTATTGGGTGCCCACAGAGGCCAGTTGTGAACTCTGATCTGGGATTCAATCTCTGCTTCTCTAGTTAACCACCAAGTAATTTCTCTGGCCCCTTATTTTATTTATTTATTTATTTATTTATTTGGTTTTTTGAGACAGGGTTTCTCTGTGTAACAGCTCTGGCTGTCCTAGAATTCACTTTGTAGACCAGGCCAGCCTTGAACTCTGCCTGCCTCTGCCTCCCGAGTGCTGGGATTAAATGTGTGCACCACCTTACCCATCTCCCTTATTCATTTTTTAAAAGATGGACTTAGAGAATGAAATGGCAGGATTTATTTTTAAATAAACATAGGCCAGTTGGGCATGGCGACTCATGCCTTTAATCCTGGCACTCAGGAGACAAGGGAACAGGGATCTCTGTCAGAGACCCCGAGAGCCTCATGGCTTGGAGTTAGATGATCTACTGGTGGTGAAGGATAACTTAGCACCACTTCAGGCACTGAAGTTCAAAACTTCTAGAATCTGACCTTGTTGATTCTTCTTACTCATTTAAACACAGTAGAGCTGTGGGAAAGGTTTCCATGCGACACACACTAAACAGAATCCAGGGGCTGGCTAATGTTCTACCACTAAGCTATGTCCTGGCACCCTTTGTTCATTTTCATACTGAGGTAGCTACCAATAAGCTTTGAAAAGGCTCTCTCCAAATGGTCCAGATGTCATTTAAACAACCTTAAGTTGATTATCATGTTTTTTTTTTTCCCCTACGATTGAAGGAAGGATAATAACACTCCTGGGGCTAGGGTTGCAGTGCAGTCCCCAGAGGCAGGTCAGCATGCACCAGGCTCTGCTTGGTTTAAGTCCCTGGAATCCCTACCTTACCGGCCCCCAATCACTGCTTATGAATATTCAAATATTTTCCTGTAGGATAGTGTTCTAAGATCACCATCTCTCCCTGTGTCTAAATGGAGGGTACGTAAAGGAATCTGCTGATTGGCTTAAATGACTTTTTCCACAGAAGTAAACAAGTCAAGGAAGGAGGGCCTACTCCTCTCAAAATCTCAGGGAATTATCCCTTGACTATCCTCATTTGCATTAGGTTTAGATGGGGGTGGGTGGGTTGAGAGGGCACTGAGATGGGTTGCTGAAGACTAAGGAGTTTCTTAGAGTAGTTACTAATGCAGGGACAGACAGACAGACAGAGGGGCAATAGTGGAGGTTCCAAGGAGATTGCAAGTCTCCAGTACCACAGATGGCAAGGTGGGGGATCTGAAGACGATCTTGTGGCAGGAGATTCTTTTTTCAAAAAAAATTATTTATTTGTATTTTATGTGCTTTGCTCTTTTGCCTGCATGTGTCCATGGAGGTGTCAGATGCCTTGGAACAGGAGTTACAGGCAGTTGTGAGCTGTCATATGGGTGCTGGGAATTGGACCTGGGTCCTCTGGAAAAGCACCCCAGTGCTCTTAACCACTGAGCCATCTCTCCAGCCCCCTCTTACGACTCTTTAAGGCTGGGGGAATTTACAACCAGGGCCCAAAGTCAGGCTTTCTCATTCTCAGACAGAAGGCACAGAGGTGGGTGGGGAGCAGGGCTTACATTCAGCAATAGTCTGGTGGGAACTCACTTCCTGGGAGGAGGAGTCCAGTCTACAGTAACTCAATAGGGTGCCTGTAGGGTGTCCTGGGAAGAGGGCACTCTAACATTACATTCTGGGGTCTGTGATAGACAACCTCCTCACACTGGATATTCTAATTGAGATGAATTCCCATCACTATCTTGGAAACACACAGCTTTTACAGCTGTTCCATAGACCACACTTCCACAGGTCCTAACTACCTTCCCTGAACTGTGATCAAATAGATTCCGATCAGTTACCCCATCGCATGAAATGTGAGAACTCTAGACAAGACCACTAAGAAGGAAACCTTTAAGACAAGTCCTTTGGCTTTTTTTTTTTTTTTCGTGGCACCTTCTTAGAGGTTGGCCATTCAAGATGAAGCTATCTTTTCCCAGGTGTCAGAAACTCATTGAAGTGGATGATGAACACAAACAAGCTTCGTATGTTCTGTGAGAAGTGTATGGGCACTGAAGAAGCCGCTGATGCTCTGAGTGAAGAGTGGAAGGGTCATGTGGTCTGAATCAGTGGTGGGAACCACAAACAAGGTTTTCCCATGAAGCAAGATGTCTTGACCTATGACAGAGTGCCCCTGTTGTTGAGTACGGGGAAATCTCATCATAGATCATGGAGAACTGGATAGAGGAAATGCAAGTCTGTTCAAGGATGCATTGCAGAGTGTTCTCAACTTACGGTTTTGATTATTATGAAAAAGGGGGAGTAAGGGGGGAGGATATTCCTGACTGACAGATACTACTATGCCTCAATGGTTTGTGCCCCAAAGAGCTAGCAGAACCTGAGGGTTTTCAGTCTCTCTGAAGATGATACCCACCAACATATTTCCAGAAAGACCTTAAACAAAGAAGTCAGAAGTCCTAAAGCACCCTAGATTCAGCATCTATTAGTCTACATGTCCTGAAACTCAAACAGTGATGTATAGTGATGTACTGCTCTAAATAAACAATGTGCTAAGAAAAGCAAAGATGAGGCTACAGGACATGCTACACTTGTGGCCAAGAGAATGAAGGAAGCCAAAGCAAAGCACCGGGAACAGACTGTCAAGAGATGCAGGCTGTCCTTGTTGAGAGCTCTTGCTTCTGAATCCAGACAAAAATAAGTCTTGAAGAATAACAGGTAAATGATCAGACTTGAATCTCAAAATAAATTACAAAGTCCTTAAAGCTTGTAGAGTAGCTTACAGTGAATCGGACCCTGAATTTGACTCATAGCATAATATAAATAAGTGAATGAATGTCCTTGAAACAAAGACCATTTGTATAACTGTTACCCCAAAGGTAAGCTAAGGCTTGAGGCTTTGGTGTACTTAGTAGAGGAAGAATGCCACACCTGTTTGCAGGAAATGTTTGTGTTTTTGTACTTGTTTAAGCCCAGTTCCTTGAAGGACTTGGCTGATCTGCTACACTACCCACAAATTCTTGAGTTCCCAATAAACAGAGCCCATGTAAACAGGCACACAACGCTCCTTTATACCACTCTGCAGGCCTGGAAACTGGCTTTCCTTCCTCCCAGCTAGCCTGGATGCAAGAAGACAGCCTTGTTAATCAGTGGCTTGGACCACACAGAGAACAGACCCTACAGCTGCAACCACATTCACCAACAATCCAACCATTGTGCCGTGAGATGTTGGGCAAACACAGCCCACACTGAAGCTCTGTACTCCCAAACGCCAGGAGCTTGGGACATTTTGAGCATGCATTCAGTGTGTAACCAAACATTTATATATGCCCCATACAATCTTTAAAAAACAACCCTGCATTTGGGGCTGAGGGTATATTTCAGTGGTTCAGTGAGTGTTCTGCATATATAAAGTGCTGAATTTAATTTTTAGCATGCACGAAAAAGGTGCCTGAATTGAACACTGAGACTTTTTTCTTGTCATTAGTCCCTAAAAAACACAGTATACGCTGTTTACTTAGTACTTACATTATATTAGGAATTACACATAGTTTGGAGATGGTTTGCCACATACAGGAGGATGTGTGTAAGTCACATGAAAATATAATGCCAGTATTTTTTTTACATTTATTTTGGATGTATGTGGGGAGGGGCACGCATGTATGCCATGGCCCATGTTAGAGGATAATGAGCAGGATTTGGTTCTCTCCATCAGGTGAGTCCTTGGGGCTGAACCCAGGTCATTAGGTTCTGCAGTAAGTACCTGGACTTACTGAGCTGTCTCGATGCCCTATATTGCTACTTTGACAGATGGGGCTTGAACATTTCAAACTTTGCTTCTCACAATACCTGGGGACATCAAAACATCAAGGGAGGACTGTTTTTATTAGACATTCCTTCCTATAAACCAACACTTGGTTTATTTTCAGTGCTGGAGATCAGATCCAGGGGCTCTGGGCTCTAGACAAGTGGCAAGTGCTCTTCTAGTGACCTTCAACCCCAGAGCTCCTTCATTGCATTAGGACAAATGACAGGGTGTTTTCTGTTTTATTTTGTTTGGGCCAAATTCTTCATTTCATTCTGTACCATTCTCCTTTGGAGTGCATTTTCTTGGTGGTCTTCAAGCATGAAATATAACTTTGAGTCATACGAACAACAGAGAACAAAGACTTCATGGACAACTCATTTTGAGTCCTTACCTGGCATGATAGGAAAGATTTGACTCTCTGGTGCCCACTGGGTGGAGTGAACCCTCTTTTCCGAGTGGGGTACAATAGCTGGTTGGTTGTGGGGAGTGACTTTCTGGGGCTTTTCAAACCAGGGGTCTCCTTCGCCTTCACTCGGTCCCGTGGTCCCTGGCTGGGCAGAAGTAGCCACTGTGTGCGTCACCATCTTGCGGTCGAGACCCACTGTGGAAGAACTCAGTTACTTGCTGGATTTCTTTTTTATTTAATATTTGTTTATTTATTTACTTATTTGTGTGTGTGTGTGTGTGTGTGTGTGTGTGTGTGTGTGTGTGTGTGTCCATAGAGGTCAGAGGAAGGTATTGGATGGATTTCCTGGAATTGTGAGCTGCCATGTGGGTGCTGGGAATCGAACCTGGGTCCTCTGGAAGAGCAACCAGTGCTTGTAACCACTAACACATCTCTCCAGCCTGACTGACTTGCTGGGTTTCTCTCTCTCTCTCTCTCTCTCTCTCTTTTTTTTTTGTTTTGTTTTTTTTTTTATATTGTTGTGTGTGTGTGTGTGTGTGTGTGTGTGTGTGTGTGTGTGTGTGTGTGTGTGTGCATGCGCACACGCGAGTGTGCGTGCATGCCCATGCACGCATTGCATGTGCGAACCAGAGGGCAACGCTGTTGTTGCTTAGGAGCCATCCAACTCTGTTTTTGAGACCGATTTTCCTACTGGCTTAGAACCTGGAACTTATCAAGCATGTTAGGCTGGCTGACTAGCAGCCTCCTGGAATCATCCTGTCTCTGCTGCCTCAGTACTGGGATCACAACCACAGACCTCCACATTTGCCCTTTTCACACGACACTGAGGAATTACCACTTCAGCCTTGGGTTTCTTTTCTGAACTTTAACTGAGACTATCGTATCTGCAGCTGATTTAAAATCATGGCTACTTCACACTAATATTCCACTCAGCTAAGACATGCCGAGCCCAATAAAACCCTTTGCTTACTTTTTAAATGGGCAATGTGTTCTTCCCTCTTTTAGTAGCTTTCCTAACATGGACAAAGACAAATACAGCCTGTTTTTTGTTTTTTGTTTTTTTCAGTCTCTCTACTTTGATAGCAATGGGGGTTGAGCCTTAGACCTCATGCTTATGAGGCAAGGACTAAACCATTGGGCTACTCCTCAGTTCCTAAACCTTAGGTTTGGGGACTTGCTTTTTGTTCCTTTGTTTTCCCCTTTCTTACACCAGTACTTTATTTAGCTGTTTCCTACAGCTCTTCTTTCTTGTAATGTACTTTTAAGTACACGACCCTTACAAAACTGATGTATAGCTCCAACTTAGCCATACCTCAGTGTGTCATAAGTAGTCCTTAAAAACTATAAAGCGGTGCCAAACGTGGTGGTGGCACATGCCTATAATCCCAGAAAGTTAAGGCTAGAGGATTGTGAGTGTGAGGTCAGCCTGGCAAGTCTGTATCACCAAATGGGGGGACAATATATCACACTACATGATGGAGGTCAGAGGACAACTTGTAAGAGTCAATCCTCTCTTCCCACCACATGGGTCCTGGGAATTAGACTCAGGTCAAGAGGCTTCAGCAATCACCTTTGTTCAGAGTCATCTTGCCAGCCCTACTTCAGATTTTAAAAAGTGCACATTATGCAATATTTTAAAGATAATGAAAACCCTTGGAAAGTTGAGAAAGATCATACACAATACCAAAAATTTGTCATCTGCAACTCAGACTATAACCTCCGTGAGTTCCCAAGCATAGCTTTTCCGCAGAAAGTCATGCCTAAAGCAAGCAGTGGAAGAATGCAGGGTTTCCATGTTATCCCAAGAACACAGACATGCCCATGCCGCCCCTACCAGATCCCTGCCTGATAAGGCCATGCAGCCAACTCACAGTTTTGACAGAAGTCTTCGTCAGACCCATCTGGACACTGCCTTACCCCATCACAAGCCAAAGTGATGTCAATGCAGCAACCATTGTCACAGAAGAAATGATATCTGGAGCAAACACTGGAGCATCCTGTTCGTGAACAAGTCTCAGGTCACAGGACTGCTGAGAAAGTTAGCATCCCCTGTCAAGATGATCAGGGAAAGGGAACTCAAAGCAGGGTGAAGTGACAGGGTTGAATAGGACATACAGCGCTGGTCCCTCCATCATCCACCTACCCCAAACTTTCAGCTGCCCCAGAGCTCTCTGTCTGAAAGTCATTCTCCAAGCCTTTGTTGTGCCTGCAGTTCATCTTGTATCCATTCACTCATTTATCCATCACAGGACCTCTTTGTCAGGTGAGTCACCTGAAACCATCCCTGCTCTTTGTGGACCATGCCTCAGTAGATATATATATATATATATATCTGTGTCTTGAGTTCCTTTTTTCTAAGTAAGAATTTTCCCCTTGAGATTACTTTTCTGCTGTTGACTCTCATATGCAAATAACCGGGTTCCCATTCTCTTCTAACTCCCTCTCACCTCCTGCTATGCTCCCAATTAGCTCAGGAGATCTTGTCCCTTTCCCCTTCTCTGGGGGACCATGTATGTCTCTCTTAGGGTCCTCTTTGTTTCCTAGCATCTCTGGTGGTGTGGATTGTAGGCTAGTAATCCTTTGCTCTATGTCTAAAATCCAAATTTGAGTGTAGAGGGAGCCACTATAGGTTTAAAGAGAATTCTGGCACTAGGGAAATGTCCAGGGTTCTACAAGGTTGACCCCAGCTAACAATCTAAGCAATAGTTGAGAGGCTAACTTAAATTCCCTTCTCTGAAAATGAGATTGATGACTGCCTTATATGCCACCCTAGAGCCTTTATCCAGTAGCTGATGGAAGCAGAAGCAGACACCCACAGCTAAACACTGAGCTGAACTCTGGAATCCAGTTGCAGAGGGGTTGGAGTGATGAGCAAAGGGGTCAAGACCAGGCTGGAGAAACCCATGGAGACAGCCTACCTGAATGGGGGTTGCTCATGGACCCCAGACTGGGAAACCAGAATAGGATTGATCCAGACCCCCTGAATGTGGGTGTCAGTTTGGAGGTCTGGGCCATCTATAGGGCCTCTGATAGCGGATCAGTATTTATCCCTACTACACGAATGGACTTTGGGAGCCCACACCACATAGAGGGATACTCTCTCAGTCTAGACACACAGGTAAGGGTCTAGGCCCTGCTCCAAAGGATGACAGACTTTGAGGATCCCCCATGGAAGACCTCACCCTCCCTGGAGAGCATAAATGGTTTGGGATAGGGGGTGGGTGGGGCAGGGGAGGAGGGGAGGGAGAGGGAACTGGGATTGACAAGTTAAAGAAGCTTGTTTCTAAATTAAAATTGGTCTAATTAACACACACAAACACACAAACACCA